CAGCCAAGAGTAGCTGGGGTCAGACTCTAAAACCTCAAGGCCCACTTCTAGTGATATACTTCCTCCAGCAAGGCTCCACAAAGGGTCCACAACCATCCCAAATAGCACCACCTGCTGGGAAGCAGATGTTTAAACATATGAGCCTGTGGGGGACACTTCATATCCTAATCACAAGGACATACCGCAACCTAATGAAGGGAGGGGGTCTGAAATGGGGAGGGGATCTGGGTGTGTGTGAGAGGACTGTACTACAACATAACCTTTTGCAGTGCTCCAAGTCTGCTGTCTGTCTGTCTGTCTGTCTGTCTGTCTGTCTGTCTGTCTGTCTATCTATCTATCTATCTATCTATCTATCTATCTGTTTTTCAAGACAGGGTTTCTCTGTGTAGTCCTGACTGCCCTGGAACTCACTCTGTAGACCAGGCTGGCTTTGAACTCACAGAGATCTTCCCACCTCTGCCTCCTGAGTGCTGGGATGAAAGGTGTGTACCACCACTGCCCAGCATGTCATGTTTTACACCCCATTCAAAAAAATACCCATTTTAAAACTTCAACTACATTTCAAAACACTTGGCTATGTAAAGTAAGAAGAGAAGATACCGACACACCTAAAAGTGCAGACAGCCATCAGGTACCTAACGGCACAGGCTCACTGTGTGATGGATGAGCAGGTGGGCACCAAAGTTCAACAATAGGACCTGTTGCCTGAGGACTGCCCACACAGGGTTACTGACATGCACCTCCATGCTTGGTTTCTTTGGGGTGGTTATTGCTCCCATCTGTTTTCATCCCTAGGGCTGTAGCAGCAACATTTGCCACAAATCAGGTGTATAAAAAGAACAAACGACCCCTCCTGGCTCGGGAAGCCAGAAGTTCTGGTTGTTTACAGGATGGCTCCTTCTGAAAGCCTCGAGGACAATTAGTGTTTCCTGGTTTGCTGTCACACCACTCCCATCTTGGTTGCACTGACACGTGGTCTTTTACTATGCATCCCTGTGTCTCGTGTCTTTCCCTCTAGTCTCTTCTAAGGGCAGCAGGGCCCTGAATAGGACCCACCCTTACCATGGAAAATCTTGCTGCAAGATGCTAATCTTAATTATTACATACTCCCATCTCTGAGATTTTACTTTCTGCATTTTCAACTGCCCACTGTCAACCAAGATCTAGAAACTTTAAATGGAAAATTCCAGAAATAAGTAATTCAGGAATGTTAAACTACATAGCACCCTGAGTGGCAAGATGAAGACTCCCATAATCCTGCTCCTTCTCACCACATTGGTTGTCTTGGCACCTCAGTGCTGGTGCTCACGTGACCCTTATTTTAGTTTTGGTCTCACGGTGCAAGAGCATTGAGCTGACGATCTGGACATTCCAAGGAAAGCTACAAAGTGCTTCCTTTAGATAAAAAGAAGAGTATGATAAGACATTTTGAGAGAGAAAGAGCCTATTCCTATACCCTCTATTACAATATATCTATTGTATTTAATAGCAGTTGTTTATCTCTCACTATATCTAATCTATAAGTCAAACTTTACCATAGGTATGTGTCTTAGTTAGGATTACTATTGCTGTGATGAAACACCATGACCAAAGAAACTTGGGGAGGAAAGGGTTTATTGGGCATACGCTTTCATGGCACTGTTCATCACTGAAGGAAGTCAGGACAGGAACGCAAACAGTGCTGGATCCTGGAGGCAGGGGTTGATGACAAGCTATGGAAAGGCGCTGCTTACTGGCTTGCTTAGCCCATCTTCTTACATAACTCAGGACTACCAGCCCTGGTTTGGCATCACCCACAATGGGCTGAGCCCTCTCCATCAATCATTAATTAAGAAAATGTTTTGCAACTGTATCTTATGGAGGCATTTTCTTAATTAAGGTTTCCTCCTTTCAGATAACTCTTATGTCAAATTGACATAAGACTATCCAGCATAGCATGTATGTGTAGAAAAAAACGTACATTTATGTATATGCAATTATATAAATTCACTATATGTTGAAGTGCATATATATCATACACATAAACGGGATTTGATACTATTCAAAGCTTCAGGCATCCACTAGGGGTCTTGAAGAGCATCCTCTACCAGATAAGGCGTTGCTGATCACTGAAAAAACCCTATTTTCAAATAAAGTCTCATTCCTAAGAACCAGACACTAGGATTTAAATATCTCTTTGAGGAAACTAGTCAGATACACTGTATCATTTTGTAGATGAAGTGACAGATGTACTGTATCATTTTTGTAGATGAGGTGAAGGTTCAAGGGCCCTTCACCCACCAGAAGCCACAGAGCCTATTCCCACAATAGATCTGGACATAAGGGATGGGCCGTCTTCCTGCCTGAAGCCCACCATGCCGCTTGGCGCCTGCACAGCCAGCTCACAACAGACAATGCTCACAACAGACAATGCTCACAACAGGCAACACACACGTGCTGCCCTTCTCCCGCCCTGCTTATCTGCCTTCCCTCTGTAGGATCTGACAAAAGGTTACACTGTTTCCCTGGGCCGTGGGAAGGAGCTGGGTGGTGACCTGCCTGTGTCCCAGATCAGATGGGGACCCCAGACACAGAGGGCCCTCTGAGCCTCCAGCGCCTTTGGGGCTCTTTGATCAGCACTTTGAAGAGAGGGAACAAACTCAGGCCCCTGGAGTTATAGTGAAGGACTTTTCTAGTCTTGGGCAGCGCATGCCAGACCACGTGGGCTTTGTGCTGATGAACGACTTGAAAGTGAGAACTTGGACTGGGGGTGACAAGATGTGGACACAGGCAGGCAGTGTGTCCCAGTGAGATGACACTGCTGTACCCCTAGAGTCGCACTGGCTGCGGCATCGCATCCAGGTGCCCTCAGGACAGCTGAAGCATGGCACTTGAGAGTGGGGTGCCCACTCACTGCTTCCTCCTCCTCTCTCCGTCCCTCTCCCCTATTTGAGACGTGTGAAGATTCTGTTAGCAAGCACGGCAGGCAACAGTCTCATTGTAGGCCACACCTACAAACACCAATAATCAAACTTTCATCCTAGGATTTCTTATTCCACTCTATAATAGTTTAGAAATCCAACATTCTGCTTTGCCAAGTGTGAAACTATATCTCACGAATGGCTGTGCCTCCCAGTTTAAAAACACACTTATAGGGGCTGCAGAGATGCTCGGTGGTTGTGAGTGCTTGCTATTCTCCCAGAGGACCAGAGTTTGGTTCCAAGCACCCCTCAGGTGGCCTACAACCACCTATAATTCTACCCCCAGGGGATCTATTAACCTCTTCTGGCTCTGTGTGTGCACGCGCATGTGTGCGCACGCGTACACACACAAATGAAAACAAAATCTTAAAAACACCCCACACTTATTCACATAAATCACACAAATGTAAAAGGGTCTCTTGGTATCCATGGGAGAGTACTTCAATGAACCTGTCTATCTCCCTACAGGGTGCTTAAGTTATTTATATAAAACAGCATTGCATTTACATATACATTTGTATTATATTTCCATATACATTGTATTTGCATAGGCTATATACCTCTTCATGTACATTTAAATCATCTCAAGATGACCTATAATATATAAGCAGCTGCTATAGTATAGTTGTTAGGAAATGATGACAGGATATTTTTAACACCCCTACTTGGCTTAATCACAGGATAATTCAGAGAGCAGAGCCCATGGAGATGAACTACACCCAACATAACACTTGAAAAGAGGGAAGGAAGAAAAGAAAGATAACCTCATTCTACACATTTACATTTTATAGATCATCCGAAAATTCATTTGTAGGTCTAAATTTCCCCCATTTAAGTATAATGTCTGAATTTGACCCATGGATGTTGTCACTACTGACCACATCATTTTTCCTTTTCAGAACCTCAGTGTCAACTGTGAAATCTTCCACTGTGTCCAGAGACAGAACTTCCCATCAGATCCACCTTTGCAGAGGTAGTCCCTAACCCGAGACACTGATGCTTTTTGAGTACCTTGGAGTAAACTGCTCTGTACCAGTTGCAAAAGCTGCTGCTTAGGACTGGGAAGAAGGCTCAGTCGATGGTGTGCCAACCATACAAACATAGGACCCGAGTTCAGGTGCCATGCTAAAAGCTGGTGGGTTAGCACTCACTGTCATCCCAGTGCTGGGAGGCAGACACAAGTGGGTCCCGGAGCTCCTGGTCAGCTAGCATAGCTTCAAGTTCAGTGAGAGACCCTGTCTCAAAAAATCAGGTGGGCAGTGTCTGAAGAATTCACCCAGCACCAACCTCTGACCTCCACATACATGTGCACATACACATGAACATATATGTACACACACACAAACAAAACCCTTCCTGCATGAGATATATTGCCACTAGCCTCTCCCTCCCCGTGTCACATAGCATCCTATGCAAGACTCAGCCTAACCTTGAACTCCACACAAAACTCTTGGCCATAGTCACACAGTGCTCCATGTTCTCCTTCCCACCCAAGCATCTGGATTTGAGTCATATGATTGGGGCGCTCAGAAACCCAGGTTTTATCCATGGCCCTCCTAGTCCACACCAGCAAAACAGAGACTTGATTACCCAAATGCCCCAGACTGACTTTTCTGGTCCCTTCCTCTTCCAATACCCAAAGTAACAACAACAAAAACAAATTGCAGGTTCACCAGTTGTTCCCTCCCTGCGCCAATCAGAGCTCGGCTCACAGCCGTCGTGAAGGGAGGGTGTCTCCTCCATTTCATACCATGCACTCATTCAGAGGGCTGGTACTTTCCCACCACAAAGCCCTTATTTGAAGCCAGTTTTAATACTTCCTGAGAGCTCCAGCCAATGTGGCTGGAGTTTTTGACAAACCAGCTCCGGAGGAAGCCAAGAAGGAAACATTCCAAGATGGTCCCCAGAGGACCACAGCCTGGAGCACCAGACCCTCCTCTCGGTTGAGGGTGACCTGAACATTTAATAACCACGTGGCAGGGAGGAGATGCGCCAGGCCTCCAGATGTCAGGAGCTAGCAAGGAACAAACTGTCACTTACCTGGGGGACAGATGCACTCGGAGGGGGCTTCCCGAACTGTCCGGAGCTTGGCGACTCCATCCAGCTTCTGAACCAAGAAGACAAAAGTTGGGAGAAAAGATCAGTTGCAGAACAGAGAAGTGGAAAACTCCACAACAGTGCCGAATGATCTACAGTGGCAGTGGTATTTCCCAAAACGCTTCTTAAAAGGTCATTAAATTCTACAGGCAGTTTTCTAATTGAACAATTCTGAATATTACTGATGATGCCTCAGTAGAAGGCGTCAGATTTCTGCCGGGCTGCACGTTCAAGCACAATAGAAAAAGCAACAGAGGTGGCTTCCTGCCAGGCAAGGGAAGCTGAAAGGAGGGCATACGGGAGAGGCTTTGGTGGTTAAATCTGGCCCTGGCAGCAGCTCTCTGGGTGCCCAAGAGCTGTCTTCTCCTCACCCAGGAGTCTCCACAGAACCTCTCTCCTGCAGTCTCGGGGCCCCCGGCCTAATTCACTATGACATTTTCCTTTCTTCCTTCCCAGGGGATCCCTGGCCTAGATAATTTGGTTCAGCAGAATTTAACAAAAGTCTCCATGCATGCCCAGCCCTGTGCTGGACTTGGGAGAGAAGAAAAGGAACTCCACAGGGATGGCATGCTCCTGTGGTAACTCACAGAGACAGCTCTGGTGTGCCCGCGGCCTGGTTTGAACTCCTGGCAAATCTTTGGTTGCTGGGAATTGAATCCAGAACCTCCTGCCGGCTAAGCACATGCTGCATCACTGAGCTACCCAGCCATAGGGCAACTTCTGAGGCTGGAATTAGAGTCATCCTAAGTGAGGAGATGTGAGCTTGGAAGAAGCCAGACTTAGAGAAAAGGGACTGGCCCACCATCTCATCAGATGAGCCAGGGCTCAAGTCCTAAAAGGATACAGAGGGCATTAACTCTTCTTTTGGGGCGTGGGGTGGGGGAGGTTAGTCAGGAACCCTAAAAGCCAACAAAGCAAAAGTTGTAATCTGCTAACTTGAGTTGTATGGTGCATTTACCAGACAGAGTTAGTACTTGTGCTTCAGGTTTAAACAGAGATGTAAATTAAGGAGCTGGAGAGATGGCTCAGTGCTTATGAGCACTTGCTGCTCTTACAGAGGACTCACATCAGGCAGCTCACAACCACCTGGAACTCCTGCTCCAGGGGACCTGATGCCCTCTTCAGGCCTCACAGACACCCATGTTTATCTTTGGTGCACACACCAAACAACACATGCACATACCAAAAATAAATTTTTTTTCCAAGATAGAGTTTCTCTGTGTAGCTTTGTAGACCAAGCTGGCCTGGAACTCACAGAGATCTGCCTGTCTCTGCCTCCTGAGTACTGGGATTAAAGTTGTGCCCCACCATTACCCAGCTCTGAGAGGTAATTTTTAAGCACTGTTCTACAGGAAGTATAAGGGGAACAAGGATGGGGGTGAGTTTCTCTGCTTGGTCAAATAAAATGAATCTTCTGAGCCTTCTCCTGGGTTCATTTGTGCTTCCTTGTAAAATCCAGTGCTAGCCATGAGTCCCGCTAAGTCAGCTTAGCAGCCCCAACCCCAGCCTTGGTATCTGACTATTCCAGAGCCCTGTGAGGTTCCTCACATTCCATCAGCTTCCAGGTGGTGTCTGTGCACCCTGGCCTGTCTTCAGCAAAAGTCCTGCTCCCATGTGGTGAGTTTGGCCACTTGTTCTACTGGCTGCTCACCCTGGTCCTTGGCTATAAAACCCCTTCCTATGCTTTGTTTAGAATTGCTGCTGCCATTCAGTGCTTTAACAAGGATCCCCTGTGTATGCGTGTGTGTTCCTGTGTGTGCTGCACACATGTATAGAAACAAGAGGACAACATCAGGTATTGTCTCCTAAACTCTCTCACTGAAGCAGAAGCTCCATGTTTTGGTGAGACCAGCTGACTGGGGAGCCTCAGGGACCTCCCCACTCGGTGCTGAGGTTAGAGGTGTGGGTGGCCACCCTAGACTCCTTTGCATGGGTGATAGAGATCCAGCCTCTGTTCCCATGCTTTCATAGCAGGCTCTTCACCCAGTGGGCCATCTCTCCAGCCCCAAACCTTTCTTCTCTAACAGTACCAAGTTGGGGTTTCACAGGACATCCGACCCCAGTCAACCCCAAGGTGCCTCTGGCTAGGGCAGCCCAAGACCAACAGTCAGAGTCTAAAGCCTGTTAGGCACACTCTCGGTGGTCTGGAAGCTATCCTCAAAGCTCCTCCTCAGAAGGCTGGGCTGGAACAAATAACAAGGAACAGGAGGGTGGCTGGGCAGGCCGTGAACACCTCACAGTACCAGGACAGCCAGGGAGCACTTGAGTGTGGCCACTTTGTCCTCAGCCCACTTCCCTGGCCTCCCAAGACCCTCGGTCTGTCCCAGGAATCAGATCCTAGGTCTGTGGGCATCAGACTCTCAGCTCCCTCTGGACCTCCACTTCTGCATAGTCCAGAGCACCCAAGTTAGGCCCTGTAAGACAGGCCCAACCTCCAGAAGCCCCTGTAGCTCCCAGCCCTTAGCAGGAAACCTGCTCCATCAGGGACAGCAGCGAATATCAGCCATCTCCTACGGCCAGTCTCGCCGAGGGGCTGAGGCCTGTGTACCAGGACATTCCCTCCTGTCCCGGCTGACTGGGGAGAACCTGCACAGAAACTGCAGGCCTGAGAAGGACCTCAGGACTCTTTCTCCACAGCCTCTGCAGACACTATATGGCAGCAGTTTTCAACAAGAAAGAATTCAGACCTGCAGTCGGCAGTGGTCCACTGTGCAGGAAGCTCTCCAAGCTAGACGCAGCAGCAGGGAGGCCTCCTTCGTCCCCTTCCCAACAAAGCATCAGGTGTTGAAGGTGACCTTTCAACAACACCCATCACACCTGGATTGCTCTCCAAATGGGCAAGAGCTGAGGGGCACACGATGATTTTAAAGCTGTGCTCATCTGAAAATAAAAGCCCACTTGGGAATCACGCATGAGAGAAGAATCGCTCCTGGCTAAGGCTGTCGGGAGTGTCCCGGGTCACTGGGATTGAGTTTATATGTTGTGCTTTATTCTACCTCCCTGTATGCATTTAGCTTTCTCACTGGGTCATGAACATGCAGTTTGATCTCTGAGTTCTACGCTTCCCTCCCTCCCTCCCTCCCTCCCTCAACTCCAGCCCCTCCCCATCCAAGAGTTTGGAAACACAGCTGAACTCCACAGGAAATGTTTGATTTGGAAACTCAAACCCAAAATCTTTATGCTTTTTTTCCTTTTTAAATTCTAAGAGACTCTTCTTTTGTGTCCAGGCTTCTAAAACATGATTTAAAGGGCTCAACTCTTTACATTCAGTTATCTGGCAGCACCCCAGCATCTGCATACAATACGGACCTGGGTTTCCATACGCAAACATGGCCTTCTTTGCAGAGCAGATATAGGATGAATTTCTGAGAACAGACAAGAGAGGATTTGGGGGTGTTCCTCTCCAGAATCCCAGAGAAGGAAAACGGAATTTGGACGCAACTCACAGGGGGAGAATGAATGAGAGAAAATCTCAATTTTCAACTGTGATCTGTTGATGAGTTTATTAATGGCCTGTAAGAGCTCAAAACATTTGATCACATCCTCAAATGGCTTTGAATGGATGGACAAATCAGATCAGCACACAAGAAAACATTGAGTTGGTGGGGCTGGAGAGAGGCTCATCGGTTAAGAGCATGTACTGCTCTTCCAGAGAATGGGAGTTTGATTCCCAGTAACTGTGTCAGGCAGCCACACCCACCTATAACTCCAGTGCCAGGAACATTCGACTTATCTGGCCTCTGCAGGCACCTGTACACACACACTTTAAAAATCATTAAAATAAATCTTTTTTTTAAAAGAGTTGAACTGAATGTGGCTCACACCTGTAGCCCCAGCTACTCTGCTCTTGTGGGGTATGAGGCAGGATTGCTTGAATCCAGGAATTCTAGACCAGCCTGGACGACACAGTGAGACCCCAGTCCAAAGATAAAAAGAAAACAACACTAAAAGTATGCAATGATTTATTTTTGTGACATGCTGTAAATGAAACCATAAAACATTCCTATCTTTTGGCTGAAAATCCATACTCTAGGGAATTTTCTCCAAAATAAACCCCAAGAAGTAAATCAACAAAAGCAAAAAAAGAAAAAGAAAAGAAACAAAAGAGTTATTTATGGAGAAACCATTGGGCAGTGGGGGATGGGTTAGGGAAGAATGGAGATTCCCCTGATAAAGCCATTAAGGTCAGGAAGCAGCATTGGGAAGGAGTGTGACAAGGAATCAGGTTTGTCATATGACCCGAATACCATCCAAACAGAACACAGCGGAGGCTGCAGCAGTGGTGTGTTTCTTTAAAGGGTTAATTCTGGGTTTGGGCAGGCGGTTCAGCAGCACTTGGCGTGCAAGGGTGAGGACTGGAGTTGAGATCGTCATATAAATGCTGGGTGGACATGGCAGTCCACCTGTAACCTCAGCTCAAGGGAAGTAGAGGTGGGGATCCCCAGAGCAAGTTGCATAGCTAGGCTAGCTGAAGTGGCAAGCTGAAGATTCAAGAGCCTCAGGACATCAAGCAGGGGCACCTGATGTCAATCTCAGGCTTCCACATGCATGAGAACACGTGTGAATACATGCATGAGCACACACACACACACACACACACACAGATATGCACACCTCTTCCCCCTTTTCTAGGCATGTTCAGTAGTAGAACATTTGCCTAGCATGCTGCTTGATTTTCAACACCAGAAAAAAAATCAACCTTTAGAAATTCTTTGTCGATCTTGTGTAGTCTCCTCAGAAGAATATAAAAACCTTAGAAGAAGCACAAAGGCCAAGAGGGGCTTCTGAGATTGCCCTGTGGGGGCTTTTTTTTTTTTTGGAGACTAGGTCTCATTGTATAGCAATGTCAGTCTGGAATTCCATATATAGACCAGGCTGGCCAAGAACTCACAAGAATCCACCTGCCTCTGCCCCCCAAGTATGGGATTAAAGGCGTGTGCTATAATGCTCAGTCAATTTTTTGTTTTGAGACAGAATTTCAGATACTCCAGACCTCAAAGTACCTGTGTA